CAAGCACATGCTAACGCTTTTTTGAATGTCGTTTGTTTCCTAGAACAAACGCCAATCAGACAAAAGATTATTTTGACGCCTTCCCGTGTGATCGAATGGAGGGTTCGCTACGTTCGAAATTTTTTTTAAATCGCTTTAGTGTATATTAAGATCGCTTCATTCTGTGAAATGATTTATACGAATAATGCGTGTTTCCGGGCCATCGGAATATTTAGAAACCGCAAATTCATAAATTCAGTAGAGAGCTAGAAACCAAGAATTGGTTACGTCGAATTCATAAAAAGTTCGATCAACCGCGCAGAAAAATTCGAATACGCGCGGGAAGCCAATTGATTGGTCTTCCTCGTGATTATAACTTATTCATTTAGTTTCCTTCAGATTAAATAATTATCAGAGCTTGCGCAAAATGCCATTTCAGGTACTCTTGGCGTTACGATTTGTAGCTGTTCATTAATTTTCCAATTGTTGAAAAAAACGTTTCAGTAGCATTGCTCATCCGTCAAAGGATATCCCCGCTCGTAGGATAAAATTCTTGAATGTTCGATGAACACTATCTGCGTTTAATTTTAATTTTTTTAGCCCAACCCTTTTTCTCACACACACTGAATTATGTTGCATGTAAGAGAAAAGGTTTTTCTGGGAACTCCGTATTGGAGACATCTACGAGAAAAAAGCTAACTATTCATTTTTCGTCATCTAATGAGCTTATCGATTGCTAGCATATATATCAGGCTTTGACTTTTCCATCGTAACGCGGCCAATAACTGTCATGACGTCTTTTTTCCGACTTCAGTAGATGTCGCCGGTCGCTGAATCACTGTAGTTCGGAATATCGTCCGCTTTCGCAACGTGCAATCATGACAATCTTGGAAGTTCACTACGTACATCTTTTTTTCTCCTTACAGTCAAAAGAAAAGTTCGAGTTTACGCAGATGGAATTTACGACCTGTTCCATGCTGGACACGCGCGTCAGCTCATGCAAGCAAAGAACGCGTTCCCGAACATTTACCTAATTGTCGGAGGTTTGTGATTCTGCCAAAAAAAAATTATTTCATCTCAACTGGGGAATTTTATGGTTTTTCTCCTGCTTTCGCCGCAGTCACGAGTGATCAACAGACACACAGCAAGAAAGGGAGAACCGTAATGAGTGAAGACGAGCGGTACGAAGCCATTCGACACTGTCGTTACGTCGATGAAATAGTTCGCGATTGTCCCTGGGAAATCACTGAAGAATATCTGATGAAGCATAAGGTTAGTAATCCTTATCTTGCATTCACTGTATGCAATAATGAATGCCAAAGATATGAACTAATTCGGATAACAGCCATGAGTAGACTATATCTTCCAACTGATCTTTGGTCATCTCCCACATTCTTCAAAACTTTTCTTATGATCAATGTGAAGATTTTGTCTTGACCGTAAGATGCTTCTTTAAAACGACAGTATCGTAATACAGGTGGACCCTCTCTAGGACAAAATTCAGGCAACTCAAAAAAAATTCTTTGTAGAGAGAATTTGGTTGCAGAGAAAAAGAGAACTGTCGCAAAAATAAACGGTAGCCTTCAATTTGTTACACAAAATCTGAAAACCCAAATTTGCAGTAAACTCTTCTTCATTCATCTCTGTGAGAATCAAGGAAGACCTTGGTTCTCACGTTTCTTTCAGAGCCTTCAAGGCTGTATTTTATTGTGAAAATCCTGTTGCTGTTTTTTGTCCTTGGAGGACAGTTTTCCTGTTTTCCAAATTCAGCCAGATACTTAACTTCTTTCCAAGCACTTGTGTGATCCACTTGAAGATTTTGCTGCATGAAACCATTCTGAGTTTGTGATTCAAATTATAACAACCTTAAAATAGGGTGAAATTTCACCCCAGCCGCAGCCCAACCAAATTCAGTTGTTTCATTCATTCTAATTAAAGTACAAACTTTCCTAAAAATTTATTCAATTTTGAACATCTTTATTTGTCAAGGATATATTCCTGACAAGAACCTAATTTGGCTTTTGGGACCACAAAGAAAATTTTTCTACAGCGGATATTGTTGTAGAGACAGTTCACCTATACACAGAATTTTTTTTTCTTTTGTCACTTAAAATGTATACTTTATGAAACTCAGGAATGCTGACAATTCCACATGCAAAAATTAACGTCCAATCACAATCACTATTGCAATGGCTAAAAAAAAGCATTGCCCAAATGTTATTGCAATCCGTACTTGTAAGAAAAATCCTTTCTCACATCCCCCCCCCCT